TGTGGGTACTTTACTATTGATAGTATTTCACGTTTTCTTGTTTTTGACCCCCCTGTATAATATTTTCAAATTTAAAGTATGGCAAGACTTTTCAAAACAAGCAGAACTTGTTTTAAAGAATGACTTTTTGTCGAAAAATTAATTTTTTTGTCCAATTCACCTCTTTGGGACCTCTATCCGAGGACATACTGTATATTAACTTAATCAATGCTTTTTAGATCAGCCATCAGTTGATGTCACAAAAAAACCACTGTGAATGAAAATGCAAATACTCCCATTAGAAAGTCTGCAAAAACTACCAAAGGAGTGCTAAGTATCTACCTTTTTGCAGTGTCCCAAAAGTAGTGGTCACAAATGATTGCAGCACCCAAATTAATTATTATCAATTTTGTTTTAGTTCCATCAAGGCAAAGGAAGAGCCGGGAGCCACTTAGGAAAAATGCTTTGTCTTTTCTTACAGAAAAATATGTTACGGATTTTGAAATCAGAGAAAGATAATTAACATTGGAAGAGCGTAAATTAGCTTTACAGGAACGACAAGTTTCATTAGAGGAGGAAAAACTCCAACTAGAAAAACGAAAATTGGAAATAGAAATTGAAAAAAGGAAACAAAAGTTAGAGTTAGAAAGACAAAAATTTGAAATGTTGTTAGCGGCACGCCAATGAATAGGGCTGTAGTGTTCAATAGTTTAGAGATTATTATTATATAAACAATGTACTCTGAATAACTGTAAACAACAATGTTTATCTTTACGTAATGCGGAAAGGCGAGTTCAGTCAATACACGATAGCCAGCAAGCAAACAGTATTTTATTTTAAACCCCAGAGTTTTCGTGTATTCTACAGTGGCGACGAGGACTAAACCAAACAGATATTGTGATTCGGTTAAAATACAATCGAGTAAGTACCTAAAGTTTTAATTGGAAAATTACACCAAATATTTACTACTATATTGACCGATTTCGAAAAATAAATTAACACTTTAACTGCCACGTTAAACACTAGTGACTGACATTCCTTTGGTAAGGAATCGGCCGTGTCCAACGTTCTGGGTTTATTTTACATCGTATTGTATATTAGAATCATTTTCCTGGTTCCTTCAAGTATCAGAGTACATTAATAACAAGACAATGAAAATTTTATTTATTTTAAAGAAATGGAAATAGGCAGCTAAAATGTTAACAAAAAATTTTGGTGTTAATTTATAATACTAAGTACATATGTACATTTAAGCTTAATTTAATACAAATAAAAGAGACTAAGGTCCAAATTAGAGGGACGTAGGTCCATATTAGAGGGACGTAGGTCCAAATTAGAGGGACGTAGGTCCAAACAGAGGGACGTAGGTCCAAACAGAGGGACGTAGGTCCAAATCAGAGGGTCGTAGGTCCAAACAGAGGGACGTAGGTCCATATCAGAGGGACGTAGGTCCAAATCAGAGGGACGTAGGTCCAAGTTAGAGGGACGTAGGTCCAAGTTAGAGGGACGTAGGTCCAAAACAGAGGGACGTAGGTCCAAAACAGAGGGACGTAGGTCCAAATCAGAGGGACGTAGGTCCAAACAGAGGGACGTAGGTCCAAATTAGAGGGACGTAGGTCCAAATCAGAGGGACTTAGGTCCAAATCAGAGGGACGTAGGTCCAAATCAGAGGGACGTAGGTCCAAATTAAAGGGACAGAGGTGCAAATTCGAGTTTCATTTATATGCCATTAAGAGATTAAGTCGAAATTAAATATATATCGATAATAGTTAATATTTGGTGTTAAATGTAAATTAATTAAAATAATATGTATACTGTAAATGTATCATGTAACTAGGTATCAGTTATAACAAAAAAAAATCAGTAATTATTAATTTTTTTTAAGCTTTTTAAGTTTCATATTTGAAATAAAGTAATACTGCAAATTGTTTATCTGAACATTAGATTTAGATCATTGTCCTTAATTATTAAAGCGTTAATGTTTATTTATACCTAAGATGTGTATACGACTCAACTTATATATATTTTTACAGAAAATTAAAATCGACGATGAATTTATCAAGTCTTTCAACCCTGGAGAATTTTGATTGTGAAGGAGAAATTTCTTCTGTTGCTTTAAGATGGAGAAAATGGAAAAGGGCTTTGAATATATACCTAGAGGCAGCAAGTATCGACAGTCCCGCAAAAAAACGAGCTGTATTATTACATATGGGGGAAATAGGCATTCAAGAAATATACTATAATATTCCTGGGGCACATGTTGAAACTTCCGTTGATGTAGATATTTATGAAGTCGCTGTTCAAAAGTTGGATGAATATTTCGCTCCTAAACAAAGCAAGGTGTTTGAAAGACATATATTTAGATTATTGAAGCAAGATCAAGGAGAGAAATTCGAGAGATTCCTCATACGCTTAAGACACCAAGCAGAAAAGTGTCAATTCCAGAATTTGGAGGAAAACCTTATCGATCAAATTGTGGAAAAAGGATGCAACTTAGAACTGAGAAAGAAAATATTAGCAGTTGGAGATAGCATGACTTTAGAGATGATTATAAATGAAGCTAATTCCTTAGAATCCGTAACACGACAGCTCGGGGAATTCTCAGGAAATCCAGATACGCTAACCCAGGACATTAATTTATTGCAACATAAGCCATCTGGAAGTCGTCGTGAAGAGGAATTTTGTAGGCGATGCGGTAGCACAAAACATTCTTCTACAAGTTTAAATTGCCCAGCTGTAAATCAAGAATGCGGAAAATGTGGATTTAAAGGACATTTTATGAGCCAATGCAGAACAGCTCCTGGAAAAAGAAAAAATAAAAGTGCCAAACGTCATTCCCCAAAAGCGGCAATCCAAATTTAAAAAGCGAAAAATGTCGAACGCACATGCCATTGAAGAAAACTCCGAAGATGAAGGCGACTATGTGTTCCATATCGATCAAGACGACACACTATCATGCAAAATTGGTGGAGTGAACATTGATATGCTCATTGACTCAGGCAGTAAATGTAATTTACTGAGCCTAGATGCCTGGCAATATTTAAAACGTGAGAGAGTTCAAGTCCATAACCAGTTAAAAAATCCAGACAAAATATTTTTAGCCTATGCCAGTAAGGCACCCTTGACTGTCGTGGGATCTTGTGAAGCATTTATTGATGTTGGAAATCAGCCTATTAAAGCCGTATTTTATGTAATAAAAAATGAAATAAAAATCTACTTGGTAAAAGAACGGCAATAGAGCTAGGTGTTCTAAAAATTGGTTTACATAATGTCAATGCCACAACAAGCCCATTTCCGAAATTTAAGGACACAGTTGTAGATATTCCAATTGACGAAACAATACAGCCGGTAAGTCAGCCATATAGACGAGTACCAATTCCACTGGAAGAAAAAATCAACAGGAAACTTAAGGAACTTATTGATTTAGACATCATTGAGGAAGTGGCAGGATCATCTAAATGGGTATCTCCAATCGTTCCAGTATTAAAGGACAACGGGGAGGTTAGAATCTGCCTTGACATGCGAAGAGCAAATTCAGCTATTATGCGTGAAAATCATCCACTTCCAATGATGGACCAGTTATTACCAAAATTTAGAGGTGCAAAGATATTTTCAAAATTAGATATAAAAAACGCATTCCATCAAATCGAAATTTCACCAGCCTCCCGTCATATTACTACATTTATTAGCAGCAAAGGATTACTACGATATAAAAGACTGATGTTTGGCATATCTTGCGCTCCAGAAATTTTTCAGAAATTATTGGAACGTGTACTTGCCAAATGTGACGGTGTTGTCAATTTCATTGACGATATTTTAATTTTTGGAGCAACTCTAGAAGAACATAATATGAGATTAAATAATGTTTTAACAACTTTAGATCAAAATAAAGATAAATGCATGTTTAGATTGAGAAGCGTTGAATTTTTAGGTCAATGTGCCTCAGTAGGTATCAAACCAATAGAGAGCTAAGTTATGAGCCATAAACACAGTTTCGAGCACCCAAAACTATTATGGAGATACAAAGTTTTTGGGGTTGGTAAATTACGTGGGAAAATGGATCCCTAATCTAGCAACGCTGACAGACCCGTTAAGGAAGATACTTAGGTTAAAATTAGGAAAAAAATCCAACATAGAGTCCTACTGGAAGGCTGAACAGCAACATTCGTTCAAAAAACTAAAAGAGACCCTATCCAGCATCAAAACATTGGGCTATTATCATCCAGGCGACAGAACCCAAGTCATAGCTGACGCCAGTCCAGTTGGTCTTGGCTGTGTACTTATCCGATTTGACGAATCTGGTCCTCGAATTATATCATTTGGAAATAAAAGCCTGAGAAGAGATATTGTCAGACGGAAAAAGAAGCTCTTGCGCTGGTATGGTCAGTAGAACATTTCCATATGTACCTATATGGAAAAGAAAGATTTGAATTGGTTACAGATCACAAACCACTAGAAGCCATATTTAAACCAACAGCCAAACCGTGTGCGCGCATAGAGAGATGGGCCCTTCGACTACAATGTTACAATCATAAAGTAGTATACCGCCCTGGAAAATTTAATATAGCGGATGTTTTATCCAGACTGCCAAGAATAGAAAATATAAATAAATCATTTGATGAAAATTCTATTTGCCAAATACTAAGCTATTCAAGACCTGTTGCTGTTTCATTATCTGATATCAAGAGAGCTTCAGAAAAAAGACCAAGAAATCACCAAAGTAAAAGAAGCAATATTTCAAGATGTTTGGGACCAATCAATTCAATCAATATAAAATATTTAGTTCAGAACTGTGTTTTCATGAAGGAATTTATTAAGAGGTGACAAAAATAGTTATACTCCATCATCACAAGAAGCCAAAAGTTATGGAAGCAGCTCACGAAGCTCACCCTGGCATCGTAGCTATGAAGAAACGTTTACGAACGAAAGTGTGGTGGCCTAAAATCGACGCCGACGCGGAAAAACTTGTAAAGGCTTGCAAATGATGTACGTTGGTTTCAGCGCCGAATAGACCAAATCCAATGAAACGACGGGAACTGCCTTCACAGCCATGGGTAGTTGTTGCCATTGATTTCTTAGGCCCACTTCCAAGTAATGAGTTTATATTCGTCATAGTCGATTATTTTAGCCGTTACAAGGAGATTAAAGTATTAAAAGATATTTCAGCACAAAGCACGATTAGTACATTACAAGAAATTTTCTCTAGGCTAGGGTATCCATCTTGCATTAATGCTGATAATGGCAGGCAGTTTACAAGCATTGAATTTAAAAACTATTGTAAAGAAACCGGTATCGAATTATTTCACACTATACCTTATTGGCCTCAACAAAATGGCGAAGTTGAACGACAAAATCGTGACATACTAAAGAGAATTAAAATTAGCTGTGCTTTAAAACAAAACTGGAAAAGGGATCTTCTCGATTACATGATGATGTACAATAGTACACCGCACAGTATTACCGGTAAATCTCCATCCGAATTGTTTTTTCGAAGATTTTTTAGAGACAAGATTCCTAGCATCAGCGATCTAGAAAACAATAATTTAGACAGTGAAGTTAGAGACAGAGACAAAATATTAAAAGAACAAGGAAAAGAATACGGAGACAGAAAACGAAAGGCAGTAGAAACTCATTTGGAGCCAGGTGACAAAGTTTATGTAAAAAATTTAATTAAAAGTAATAAAACTTGTCCAAACTTCAATCGAAGTCCACATACAGTAATAAATAAAAATGGAGGTAATATTCAAATTAGGAATGATGAAACAGGTCAAGATTATCGAAGAAATATAATACATTTAAAGAAAATTGAAGGAGAATGGAAAGTCACTAATAAACCAGAACAAAATGATAGTAGTCATGAGCATGACTAGGGAACTATTGAATGAAGTTAAATGTATTGTTTGGATAGTGGGTATTTTGTGATTTAACTTAATTTTTATTGTTACAAAATATGTAGTCCCTAAGAGATTATTATTAGCATTAAGTTATACTAGTTCGTTGTTTATTGTAAATTAGAATTAGTTAAATTAATATATCTAGGTAATAAGTTATATCGTTTTAGTTATAGGTTGCAGAAGTTATATCTTGTTGCTAATTTTGTTAATGTATTTCAATTTGTTTAAAAGAAGAAGGTGGATGTAGTGTTCAATAGTTTAGAGATTATTATTATATAAAAAATGTACTCTGAATAACTGTAAACAACAATCTTTATCTTTACGTAATGCGGACAGGCGAGTTCAGTCAATACACGATAGCCAGCAAGCAAACAGTATTTTATTTTAAACCCCAGAGTTTTCGTGTATTCTACAAGGGCCATAGCTCTTAAGTATGTTATGTGTATAAACAAGTCCAAGTGGTCGTCTGGCGCAACCCTCAACGAGTGAGAAGGCACCTGCGGTACGATAACCACGAGCCTTGTCATTCTTTACATAAACAGTTGTTAACAGAGAAAAAAACTCACCAGTAATGTAATAGAGGTACAACAAAAAATAGTAGATAGATACATTTCTAGTCAAAAAGTCTGATTTAATCATTCCCAGTTCAAATAGGTAATATGCTCCTTTTTTTTGTAGTTTATATTAATGCTAGAGGCTAGACATTTGTGTTCTTTAAATTAGATCTATTCGTAAGTCAACAAATAAAATAACGTTTTAGTTACTTACATTAAGAGTCGAGACTGTAATACTTTAAAATGCATGAGGAACGATAAATATTATTATAGCAGTTCATCTCACTTTGCAGTTCAGATTTCAATAGGTATTTTTCTAGGGTTTTTATATATATATATATATGGTATATATATATATAGAAAATACCCTGTGTAAATCTGAACTACAAACTAAATATTGTTGTATATATATATATATATATATATATATATATATATATATAGTTAATTTATTAAAATACAAATTAATTTGTATTTTTTAATATATATATATATATATATATATATATATATATATATATATATATATATATATATATATATGCTATATTTATTTATTTAATATATATATATATATATATATATATATATATATATATATATATATATATATATATATATATAAGACCATTCATAAAACTACATCATTAAACATGGTTTGTGTTGATAACTCCACCGTGAAGCATCGCTGACCAGTCAACCACAAAAGGACTCTATAGGGCGGTTAAGCCGCCAGATATTAGTTAGAACATTGGAATAAATAAGAGATGTTCAATTAAAAATTAAAAATTGCGTCTCAATCCAAGGCGTGGAGGCGCAAAAAAACTGACAGGCGACAACCGCGACATCCACACGTCAACAGTCAATTGTCAAACGTCAAGTTTATAAAAGTGATCTATGGATGTCGAACAGGGCTGTGGCATGTCAATCATTATATTCATGTATAAAATAATAATATTGTGGGTGGTCATGTAGAAAAGTGGAGTGATCAAGGCACGACACTTAAAAAACATTTAGAAAACACCCTTACTCGTGCAACGAGAGAAAAACAATTAGGTGGTAATATACAATTAAATTTAAAAATCAGAAGATGTCACCAACCAGGTGTCCAAATGTCCGCAACCAGAAAAACATTGAGCGCAATCCGAAAAAAGAATTTTCTCCAAGCAATTGAACAAACATTAAGATGTATTAAAATTTTGAAAAAAGAGAGGTACATTGCAAACACTCAGAAAAGGCTACATGTGAAAAAGCTAATGACGACAACAATCTGTCAATAATTTTCTTATTTATCAATGTGAGACAACTGTCATAAAAATCAATTTGTAATTTTTTTTTTTTGTAGGAAATTTTTGAACAATCCTTTTCGTAGTATTGGCAACATTCCTAAATTACATAAGGTATAAAACTTACAAAAAACACTCTGTAGAGGGGGGAACAAACAACATCAATGATTGAGACTCAATTGAATGACAAATTTTTTGAAACAGATATTAATAAAAATATAACGTGTAGTAGTATGAGCATTAATTGAAAGATATAAGTTAAGTCCCAATTTAAATTGAGGTTTATTATAAAGAGAGAGAAAAGAGAAAAGCAATTTAAATATTTATGTGACTTATGTTGTTTTTATCTAATTCTTTTAATAAATTGCACATAATAGTGCGCAATACAACTAGTCCTAAATACCTACTTAAAAATTCTTACCTAAATTCTTTAGTCTACTTTTTTTGCCTAAATATCGCAGCATCATGTCTTCTGCTAGGGTAAGCACTATTTGAACTGTATATTATTCCATCAGGACAAATCACACTTTGGTACTTTAGGCAATGAACTTTCTTATGCCCTGAGTAGTACTCCTGCTGGTCAACTGAGGGCCGTGCCATCTATAAAGTCCCAACAGTTATTTATGGCTCTTCTTTTCATGTGCATTGTCTACAGTAAATAATATAAATTTTACTATTCTGTAGGCCAGTGTTGACTGTTAAAAATCTTTTCATATAATACTAAAAAATAGAATTAATATCAATCTATACTATCAATAACTACACTACATAATATACATTAAGATAATGACGAAAATGACTGTTACCTCAGCGTATGCTTCCATTCTGTCTCTAGTAAGCCATTCAAGCCTGTATTAGAGACAGTGTGGTCTCTTTATAGATATACATTATTAATAAACTAATTTATTAAAAAAAAATAGAGATCCGTTATCAAGCAGGGCGCGCGACGAAGTGAAGTCTTGACATCTCAAGACAGCATTCATCCTTGGACCTGCGCAGATCTTGACTACTGTTGGCGCGTTAAGCGAATTTTATGAATTATATAGGGTAGGTGCTAACACGGCCATTCTGCATTTGAGACGTGCTCGGCTCAACACAAATTCAAATGATTGATTGTTCAGGTAATTGATAAGTCAATACACTTATACAATAATAATATTTAATATATACCTATTACCATTATAAGCATACAAACAGTGGTTAATGCGAAGGTTATATGATCCAAATATAAAATCCACATATGCGATGCCACATCTCGAAGTTTTTCATTGATAGCTTCATACTCCATACTCTATGGAAGATTCTGTAAAATAGAATAACAAACAATGGGCAATGTCCGGCCGCTGCCCGCCAACATTTCCAAATAAAACAACAAAAACAATGGACAGTGTCCGGCCGCTGCCTGCGACATTTCCAAATAAAACAACACAAACAATGGACAATGTCCGGCCGCTGCCTGCGACATTTCCGCAAACAAAACAAAAACACTAATGGATGGGGTCCGGCCGCTGCCCGCGACATTTCCAACAAAAACAAACAAAACAATGGACAATGTCCGGCCGCTGCCTGCGACATTTCCAAACAAACAAAAACAATCAATGGAAAATGTCCGGCCGCTGCCTGCGACATTTCCAACAAACAAACAAACAATGGACAATGTCCGGCCGCCGCCTGCGACATTTCCAAACAAAACAAACAATCAATGGATTATCCGGCCGCTGCCTGCGACATTTCCAACAAAACAAAACCAACAATGGACAATGTCCGCCCGCTGCCTGCGACATTTTAAACAAAACAAAACAGTCACGGATACGCCCGGCTGCTGCTCGCGACATATTTAAACAAAATAAAAACAAACAATGACAATGTCCGGCCGCCGCCTGCGACATTTCCAAACAAAACAAAAACAATCAATGGACAATGTCCGCCCGCTGCCTGCGACATTTCCAACAAAACAAAACAATCATTGGACAATGTCCGGCCGCCGCCTGCGACATTTGCAAATAAAACAGTAAAAAACAAATGTTAGCAAAACTTTATTAAAAGGCTCACCCATTAAATAAGAGCTGTAGGCAGGTGATAAAATGGACGCTAACACGCCATCTCATCCTCGCAGTCGCTCTCTATGTCAAGCAAATCGGATCAGTCTTCCGGACACCATACCTTCGAACAACAATTGCATGGGTGATCTTTGGATAGTTGTGTCAACATTGGAATTTATGACAAGTTGTATTTTATCCAACTCGCTCGCCCATTCTGACAAAATGTACACTTGGCAAGCCCGATCTATGTAAGTATACAAATCTATATAACTCTACAAAAGTAATTACAGGAAAAGAACTTAAAAAAAAACACTTGTGTTGAAAACCATTTTTTTATTTTAACGTCTGATTTGCCACACCAGTCTACACCATTTTAAATTAACCTTAGCTTATAAATATTACAACAGGTTAACAACAATAACATACCTATTAATCAGGCTAAAAATGTTAATGTAGACACCAAACTATGTCTTTTCACCCTACACGTTACTCACCACTCAACAAAACAGTAACTTCAATCTAATGCGTGGAGTCTGAAATCGAATTTGATTATGATTATGTTAGTGTTGGTGCACATGAAATCGAAAATTCTTGATAATGTATTATATGACATCTGGAGTAATTGAGAGAAACCAGATGCTCCTGAAAACTCCTTCAACGCATTGTCGATAAAAGCAAAAAAATGTGTGTCCCTTCGCTGCTCTTACCAATGGGTACAAAAAATGTCACCCCTTCACAGTTTTAACACAAGCACCCGCGTACAAAATACATTCCTCGATGCACGACTCAATGTACTATCTGTGGTACAATTTCATCGGTCTTACACAACCATTACAAACTCCCAAATACCGAATGTCTCAGCTTTCAGTCGGAAAAACAAAACAATTCTCGAGACGAAAAGAAAATGCTAGGTGGCAAAAAGCTTGTTTACATTAACAAACCGATAAGGCTCAGACTGAACGCCCTGGATTTGCCACCAAAATGATTTTCATTATACAGGGTGCATCAAAATAAGTCGAATGAAAAATGTAAATTAATAAAAATAATTCTTGCAACATGGTTCTAACAATATCATATACTAGACCATTATATTT